TCGGCCCGCACGGCGGGACACGGGGCTCAATGGAAAATAGCGGGGGGAGGGGTTCATTACAGCAACCAAATAGTTGCAAAAAAGTTATTTGCAAGCTTTCGGACACGTAGGACCTTCCTCGGGCAAAGAAAGAAGAAATAAACGGTGAAATTAAAAAGTCTTCCAGCTCTCTCACCATTTCAAAAGATTATATATATAAATGGTGAAATTAAAAAAAATTTGGATTTCTCACCATTTCAGAAGATCGATCAACCTATCTATCTATTATATGGTGAGAAAGCTGAAAGTTTTTAAAATAATGTATACACACATTATACATACATACATGTATATAACAGTGAAATTAAAAACATGGTGACATTTGAGAGATCTGGGTTTTTTTAATTTCACTTAATTTTGTTTTAGATATATTTCTTTTGAAATGGTGAGAGATCAGAAAGAGTTTTTTAATTTCACAAATTTTTAATTGCTTTTATTTTATTTTTTTTGCCTGAGAAAGGACATGTGCGTCTCAAAGCTTAGAAATAACTTTTTTGCAACTGTTTAGTTGATCTAATAAAAGGTATCGCCTCTACCTTAAAACTTCACCTGCCTTTTGTGCTGAGAGCAACACGGCTGCTGCCCAGATCCCCGAAATAAGGGAGAGTTTTTGACACTTCATTGGCACACACTGGACAGCAGCATCCTGAGTGTCTGTAGAGCCCATAACCGGGTGCCCACATGAAACAGCCTTGCAAACTTCTGCTTACCCACATGCTCAGGACAATTAACCCTTGGCTGGGCAAGCTGGGATCACTGTTGGTTGTTGTGATCCACTCCCTGGTAGGCATGAATGGGTATTTATTTTTTGTGTGCAACTGATACAATTTTGTGCTTTTTTTTTTTTTAAGTTGCTTTAAATTGATTTTCCCAAATGAGGCAGGCTGCCTTTAATGCAGGGGTGTGCAATTATTTTGGCTTGGAGGGCCACTGTATGGATTTTGGTGAGCTGTTGCAAGTGGGCGCAGGGGGTGATGCTGACCCAGCCAGGGATGGGGGTGGTGGGAGGCAACGAGGGGGCCAATTGATCCTACCTGGTCTAGGTCTGTTCACCCTGTACTCACTGCCAGGGATGCCAGATGGAGTAGGCCGGCAGGTGGGGTCTCCTGGAAACCAGTCTGGCATCCCTATGGACAGGGTGTGCTCGGCTGGATGGATGGGATGGGACTGTGGGTGGGCAGGGAACAGCTTCCAGGAGCGGGGAGGCCGTGGTCAGGATCAGGGAAGAGGTGCAATCCAGTTCTGGATGTACAGGAAGCAGATCGCAGCTCTGTCCCAATCTTGGCCCTGCCTGCCCACCCATGACTCTGTTTTATCTGCCTGGCCAAGTGTACCCTGGCTGTGGGGGTTCTGGACTGGTCTCCATGGAGACCCCGCCTGTCCACCCATTCCAACTGGAGCCCCTGGTGGTGTGCATGGGGCAAACAGCCCGGGATGCCTGGGCAGTGGGGTTGGGTCTGGCAGCTGCAGCCAAAGGGAGCTGCTGCTGTGGGAGCTGTCCAGCTTCTGCGCCACCCCTGTGCTGACATACACCCCAGGGTGGCAGGACTAGCTAGCTGTATGAGCCACGGCTCAGGCTGTTCCCGCACCTGGGCTGAGGGGGACCCAGGGACATGCTGTGGGCTGGATAGAAAAGTCTTTGCCAGCAACATTTTGCCTGTCCTTGCTTTAATGGTAGTTCCATTGCTGCAGGCTTGGTGGGTTGTGTTTTGGGGTGGTGAAGCTTTTGTGAGACTTCCAACTGTAAAATAAAACAAACAAACAAAAAAACCATTAAAAAACACTTTTCAGTCGCATTCTGTGTCAGTGGTTCTCAACACTTAGATTCAAAGCACCCTTCGTTAGACTCAAGGCCCCCTGTGGGAAATGCCAGCTCTTAGGTTTTTGCTCGTTTTTTTGACTACAGAAAAATAATAGGGCAGTTCTTCTGTTGCAGGGAACTCAGAAAGCCCAAAACAGGTCAAAATGTTTTTAACACTGGATTTATATTTGAAATCTCTGGGTTTATCCTTTTAATCATTTTTGTACACCTTACACTTAGCACTGTGTAGCACCTGCACCACCCTTGAAAGTGTCTCAAGGCACCCCTGGTGCAACACCACCTTGGTTGGGAATCACCCTTGGTTTTATGCAGTTTAAAGCATACCCATTAATGTTAGATTTAAAAAGGCCTAACATCCATGCTCACTTTTTTTAAAGAATAGAATCTAAATTCAGGACTGCTATCTAATACTATGAAGGTGTGTGGAGTGCTTTTGAACATTAAGCCTTTTGGATCCTCATGTCGTTGTCAAACAAAGACTTTTTCCTAATTTCTTCATTTATGAAGAAACTGGGAGATTTGATTCATTTTAAGGCAGTTTTTCATGTCTACCTATGTGATGAAGGATTTGAATTGTACTTCCAGTGAAACATTAACAATTTTCCTATTATAAAATATTTGAAAAATTCTCCCCTTTTACCTGTATTTTTCACAGTCCCTCTTGATAAAGCCTTGTTGACTTTGATCTGTTTATTAAAGACGGGTCATGTTAATGACAGAACAGCAAATTCTTTCAAACTAAAAATTGTATTATAAATGTTTGCTTACCTTTAGAATGATGCCTCTTAATGTGTACTTATGGAATCCATGATATCATGAAATGCATCATTGCATTATTGTGAATAATAATCTTGGGGCATAAAGGAGTAAATTTATTAATAGCACAGTCTATTTAAATAGCAGAATTTCTAAAATTTTCAGTAATGGCTAATGAAACCCCTTGTAGATTATTGTACCAATGTGTGCAAATTAGACCAAATACTTGGTAGAAGTTTCAGGGACACTACATAACTTTGCTGCTCAGTCTTGCACATGCTTACCTTTGTTTATGTGAGTTGTTTCCTATGTTTGTAGGATTGTAACCTAAAGTTTTAACAAGCATCAGTTAGGCGTGGTATTTTTTTTAAGATACCATGTTGCTTAGGCTGTTTTGTGTTCTTTTGGCATAAATATATTTATCAGGGCAGCCAGGTGAAGTTGCACAATCCTTTTTTAACATAGGTATGACAACTATATTGCTAGTATGCATGAAGACAAAACCATGTTTCACCAGTATAATTTGTTTAGCTCACTGGGTGCGATTTTATTGTACCAATAATCATAGCTTTGCTAGTACAGTTATTTCCATACTAGAAACACTTTGTCAGTGGGATATACTGACAAAGTGTTCCAAGAGGACGTATAACCTTAGGTCAGATCTATGCTGCAAAGTTTTGCTGGTATAGCTGTGTTCGTATGCTGGCAAGCACCAAATCATACCTCACTCATTTAGGTGTAATGACAAAAAATCTCCTCCTAGTGCACAGGAGTGAGCCAACTTGCCTGCCCCAATGGGGGGGTGTGTGTGTGTGTGTGTGTGTGTGTGTGTGCAGGTTCTGCTGCTTGTGTATGGGATCAGGCCCACCACCCTAGCCATGTGTGTGCCTCATTGAGCTCCATTGTGCACCTTGTAGGTGCTTTCATAGATTTCATAGATTTCATAGACATCAGGGCTGGAAGGGACCTCGGAAGATCATCGAGTCCAGCCCCCCGCCCAAAGGGCAGGAAGTCAGCTGGGGTCATAGGATCCCAGCAAGATAAGCATCCAGTTTCATCTTGAAGGTGTTCAGTGAAGGCGCTTGAACCACCTCCGGTGGCAGGCTGTTCCAGACCTTGGGGGCTCGGACAGTAAAGAAGTTCTTCCTTATGTCCAGCCTGAAACGATCTTGAAGTAGTTTGTGACCATTCGACCTCGTCATCCCTTGGGGCGCTCTGGTGAACAAACGTTCCCCCAGATGCTGGTGGTCACCCTTGATAAACTTGTAGGTGGCCATCAGATCACCCCTGAGCCTGCGCTTTTTCAGGCTAAAGAGCCCCAGGGCTCTCAGCCTGTCATCGTAGGGTCTGCTTCCCTGACCTCTGATCATGCACGTGGCTCTTCTCTGGACTCTCTCAAGCTTCTCCACATCCTTTTTGAATTGTGGAGCCCAAAACTGGACACAGTACTCCAGCTGTGGCCTCACTAAGGCCGAGTACAGGGGGAGAATGACGTCCCGGGATTTGCTTGAGAAGCATCTATGGATGCAAGCCAGCGTTTTGGTCGCTTTACTAGCCGCCGCATCGCATTGCAGGCTCATGTTCATCTTGTGGTCAATGATGACCCCCAAGTCTCTTTCTTCCATAGTGCTAGCCAACATAGCACTGCCGAGCCTATAAGGATGCTGCGGGTTTTTTTTCCCAAGGTGGAGAACCTTGCATTTATCGGCGTTGAACACCATCAGATTCTCGTCCGCCCACTTGCTGAGCCTGTCCAGGTCAGCCTGGATAACCTGCCTGTCTTCTGGTGTGGATGCTTTGCCCCCAAGTTTGGTGTCATCGGCGAACTTGGCCAGTTCTGATCGCTTCTGACTCCAGTGTCCACATCATTAATGAAGATGTTGAACAGTATGGGTCCAAGGACAGAGCCTTGGGGGACCCCACTGGTCACAGGACACCACGATGAGTGACTTCCATCGATTACTACCCTCTGGGTCCGACCCCGGAGCCAATTTTCCAGCCAGCGGATCGTGGAGGACCCAAGGCGACAATTGGCCAGTTTCTCCAAGAGGCGATCATGGGACACCAGATCGAAGGCTTTTTTGAAGTCAAGATATATGACATCAATCTCTTCTCCCTTGTCCAGGTGATAGGTCACCTGGTCGTAGAAGGAAATGAGATTGGTCAAGCAAGACCTACCCGCAACAAACCCGTGCTGGCTATCCCTTAAGATGTTGGCGTCGGCCAGTCCATTAAGGATGGCCTCTTTAATAAACTTTTCTAAGATCTTCCCCGGGATAGAAGTCAGGCTGATGGGCCTATAGTTAGCCGGATCCACTTTCCTCCCTTTCTTGAAGATAGGCACAACATTGGCCTTCTTCCAGTCTTCGGGCACTACACCAGAGCGCCAAGAGTTTTCAAAGATCCGTGCTAGAGGCTGGGCTATGATGCTTGCCAGCTCCTTGAGTACCCTGGGGTGAAGATTGTCAGGGCCGGCTGACTTGAAGGTATCCAGCTTCTCAAGATGTTCCTTCACAAAGTCAGCATTAATGGAGGGCAGGGGATCACCCTCACCCGGACTTCCCGGCCCTGTAGCGGGCATGGGCGTCCCATGGGACTGATGAAAGACTGACGCAAAGTACCTATTTAATAGGTACTTTGCTAGCAGGATCCTGAGCACAGGGCCATATCATCTGACCCATGGGGCTTGGGAATTTGGTCGTGGAGGAGTAGTGTCAGTGTTAATTGCCACCACTTTCCCCTAACACCAAATTTCCAGATCCTTGAGCAGCCTGGTGGGCCAGATCACATGACTCTGTGGACTGAGGGTTGAATACCCCTGGCCTAGGGCACTGTTAATATCATTTTATATAGTTTTGTAATGTAGATTGTCTACAATAGTAGCATTGCCAGTTCAGATATGTTGGTATGCTATAATGACAGTGTTTGCTAGTGTAGTTGCAAAATTATGTTTTCACCTGGTATAGTTTATTCTAGGGACTCCATTATCCCTTGGCAAAAATCACAGTTTACTGGCATGACTGAATCTATGCAAGGACTCTTTGCTGGCAGTTATATTGGTCAAGGATTGCACCTCTTTGCACCTGTGCCACTAGAAGTTTACAGCATAGATAAGGCCTGAGAAATTAAAGACTTGTACGCTAACCAACATAACCATGTTAGCTACTATTATAGATGCTGTTATACCATTAAAAAGTCTTCTGTTGGTGTAGTTAATTTTCTTTGGACAGTTAGTATAATAGAAGAAATGCTAATAGAATAGAACCCAAAGTTTTGGTACAGTCATTGTTCACAACCCACTTAGATTGCAGTGGGTTGTTGAATTAAACAAACTGCTTAGCTGCTTGCTGTGTGGTTTTTACCTCAAAGGTTGTTGCTTCTCTCACAAGCTGGAGCAATGCCATGGTCCCATACTGTGGTGTAGCTGATGATCAGAGAAACAGCACCCTTTGAATAAAAGCCACAATATACCGCCAGAGCACCTCAGTGATGCCCTGCAGCTGTTTGCTGTGGCTGCATACACTCCTGGCTAATTTGCAAAATACATCTTTGTGGGCAGGCAGGCAGGGGGGAGGGGGAGAGGTGCGGGGGTGGAGGGCGGGCAGGGACATCACCTGTCAAAGCATTTGGATTCTATCTTAGGTGGGTTTTGTGGTGTCAGTAAAAAGTAAAACTTTTTTTTTCTTATTTAAGTTGTGTTGGAATAGTTAAAGCATCAAACCAGCTCTTCCATTAACCGTTATACTAGTATACGTGTTTGTTCTATTTCAGGAAGTGAAAGAAACCGATAGTATCATATACCTTTATGCTAATTAACTGCATTCATATTAAGAATTCTACTTTTATAAATTTTATCAGAAAAAAATATATTACCTCTTTCACTACAAAATTATACTAATATAGCATTTCTAGCGAGGACTTGACTTGGCTTTTTTAGTTACAAAATCCCATTTTGCTCATTTTACTTAGAATTGCCGCGTTTCCAGATTGATGAAATAGGAACAAAATTAATTAGTCTGATAGGATATGTAGTTTTAGTTAACACTCTTCTCCTTAAATGCATTCCTTAGACTAGATTGAATATCTTCTAGAATAGTTTCAAATCACATTTTTAATTACAGTTATGTAAATTCTCCCTGAAAACATTTTGCAGTGCCCTTTATTACAAGGAGGTACTTAAACAAAAGTTTTAAAATTCATTGCAGCAGGAAGTGACCATCTAGCTAAGAGCTGGTCTTTTGACACGTTGCTTGAGCAAAATTTCTGTTTACGTCATTGAATTGTGCCTGAATGAGGAGTTATAAGATTGGGCCTTAGAGCTGAATTAAGAGATTTGTAAATGGGTGAAATTCTGGCCTAGTTGACGTCAATGGCAAAACTCGTATTGATTTTCATTAGGTACCAAGTTTTGCTGTATGCTTTTTAGAGGATTACTGCTCATTTTTTCCTGGGAGTTGATGTAAAGCCTGTAGCATTGAATCCCACGTATCAATTCACTGTGTTCAAACGTTACTTAGTTTCCAGAACAAGATAATTGAAAGGTATAGAGTACTATGTTCATATGAGTTATCACCAGTAATGTACAGTGCTCTCTCATACCTTTGCACTTCAGATGTCTTTTCCGAGATATACGATTATTAGTGTTTTCCTAGGAAAGTATATAAAAAAAAGTCTTCTCAATACATGGATTAATAAATAAGTCAACTAAATTCTCTCCTCAAATGTTAAATTCTGGGATTGCATTTGTTCACTTTTCTTGCTTAACATTTTTTAAGTTTAGCAAACTATGAAGTGCAGATACTCTCAACAGGAAATGAAACAAACCCAACTGGAAAAAAAACAGTAGTACAAGAAGCTATTTACAATACATTGCAATGTAGTAGCTAATTTAATTTGCTATACTGTTGTGTATGGCTATGTGGAGCTTATTAAATTGAGCTAGGTAGGAAAGAATTTATCCATCTTGTAAAACTTTGAGCATTAAAAAAATCCCTCTTCTGCATTAGGATGAAAGCAAGAGCTTTCAAAATTTGTTGTGGAAAGCAAGAAAGAAAAATAGATGTCAGAATTGTTTATACAAAGAACAGCTGAGGCAGAAAAGATGTAGAGGGACTACTCCTAGAAAGCCCATAGTACTATATTTTTGGTCACTTGTGGGAGGTGGAAGACTGACAACAGGAATTTGAAATAGGGTCTCTCGCATTGTGGGTGAGGATCCGAAACCAAATAGGTTCTGCCTTTTTCACTCCACGTGGTTTTGACTATAAATTCTAGAGTTGAGAAAGTTTTGGCAAAACTGGTGAGACCCCAAAGAAAGCTTCAGTTTCAGTGAAAGCATGTAATGTCAAATTCAAAGTCAGCTCTACTCTCAACACAGAATGGAAAGCAAGTAGCAACAGCACTGATGGTTCATGAATGCATTCAGCAATAAACTAGTTAAGCTGGCTTTCACTGAAATTCATATTCTTAAAATGGCATGGATGTTTTAAGATTTTTTACAGTACATTTAAGCATCACTGAGTTCTTTTTGGGCCCCTTGTACATGATACTCAGAATACTTTTCCCTGAAGTCTGATGAGATTTCTCAGTTTTGTAAGCTAAGCTAATGATGCATGAAATTTAGTGCATCATGAATGAACTACTTGTATCTCTTCTCCTGTGGCAGTTGCTTTAGTATGCATCCATTTATTTACTCTTCTACTGCAGAAAGGTTGTTTTAGTTTATAAGGACCCACTCTTCTAAAGATGGCTGGTGTTTCCTGGCTAAGAGTTTTCAAGTCCCATTGAAGCTTATGGGAGATAGGAAAACCTGAAGAAGTTAGAGTAGTCTACAAAAGGTAGCACTTTGTATGTTTAATAGGTGGGTGTTGTTGCATATTTGTGCTTTATTTGATAATTTTTCCCTTATTTTATCAGCTGTATTTTTTCAGTAAAAGGGTTTATGCAAATAATTCTTCAGATTTTAAAGTGACAAATTTCTTTTCCTATGCTTTCAACATGGAATGTCTTTCAAAATCTATTATTCCTGTACTCTAAAGTTATCTAACGCTTTAAATCAAACGTATCAGTTTTAGAAACCTGTTTTTACACCAAGGAAAAAAGTTGGAATTTTAGATGTGTACCAAGGAAAAAGCCATTTTTTTAGCCTCTAGTCTGCAAATGAAGAATGTACCATATTTATTCAAATACAAGAATACCCTGATTATAAGACAAACCCCCAATAATTAGATATGGACAATTTATAAAATTTCATAGTTTCATAGTTTTAGGGTCGGAAGGGACCTAATAGATCTTCCAGCCCGACCCCCCGCCAGGGTGGGAGAACAACAAAAAACCCTAAAAACAAAAACGGGACTCAAATGAGTCCAGCCAGGTAGGCATCCAGCCTCTTCTTAAAGACCCCCAGGGTAGGGGCCAGCACCACCTCCCTTGGAAGTTGGTTCCAGCTCCTAGCCGCCCTAACTGTGAAGTAGTTTTTTCGGATGTCCAATCTGTACCTCCTCTCCATCAACTTGTGCCCATTACTCCTTGTTATGCCAGCGGGGGCTAGGGGAAACAGCGTCTCCCCCAAACCCTTCTGGTTCCCCCTAGTGAGTTTATAGACGGTCACCAGGTCCCCCCTCAGCCTTCTCTTGTGGAGGCTGAATAGGTTCAGGTCCCGCAGTCTCTCACTGTAGGGTCTGCCCTGTTGTCCCCGGATCATGCGGGTGGCCCTCCTCTGGACCCTCTCCATGTTGTCCACATCCCTCCTGAAATGGGGCGCACAGAACTGGACACAATACTCCAGCTGCGGCCTGACCAGCGTCGCATAGAGGGGGAGGATCACCTCCCTGGCTCTACTCGAGATGCACCTGTGGATGCACGACAAGGTCCTGTTAGCCCTGCCAACCATGACCTCGCATTGTCGGCCCATGTTCATCTTGGAGTCAATAATGACACCAAGATCCCTTTCCGCCTCCGTGCTCTCAAGTAGGGAGTTCCCCATCGTATAAGTGTGCTGCTGGTTCCTACTACCCAAGTGCAGCACCCTGCACTTGTCCGTATTGAAACACATCCTGTTCCTGTTTGCCCACCCCTGTAACCTATCCAGATCCTTCTGCAATCTCTCTCTCCCTGCTAGCGTGCTCACCTCCCCCCAAATTTTGGTGTCATCAGCGAATTTAAACAGGTTGCTTTCCACCCCAACATCAAGATCGCTGATGAAGAAATTGAACAGCGCAGGCCCCAGGACCGAGCCCTGGGGGACTCCACTACCCACCTCCCCCCAAGTCGAGTATGATCCATCCACCACCACCCTCTGAGTGCGACCCTTCAGCCAATCTGCAATCCATCTGACTGTGTAGGCATCTATGCCACAGTCGCCTAGTTTATTAATTAGGATGGGGTGAATTTGATATAAATTCATAGATTTCATAGACATTAGGGCTGAAAGGGACCTTGGAAGATCATCGAGTCCAGCCCCCTGCCCCAGGGACAGGAAGTCAGCTGGGATCAAAGGATCCCAGCAAGATAAACGTCCAAATGTCTTTTAAAGGAATCCAGAGTGGGTGCTTGCACCACCTGTGGTGGCAGTGTATTCCAGGCATTGGGGGCTCGAACAGTAAAGAAGTTCTTCTTATGTCCAGCCTGAAACGGTCTTCATAGTTTCATAGTTTCATAGTTTCTAGGGTTGGAAGGGACCTGGGCAGATCATCTAGTCCGACCCCCTGCCATGGCAGGAAAGAGTACTGGGGGTCAAACGACCCCAGCAAGATGGTCATCTAACCGCCTCTTAAAAACCCCCAGGGTGGGAGCCTGCACCACCTCACTTGGAAGCTGGTTCCAGACCCTGGCCGCCCTGACCATGAAGTAGCGCCTCCTGATGTCCAACTTAAACCTTCCCTCCGCCAGCTTGTGACCATTATTCCTGGTCACT